TGAACGTTTTATCAAAACATACTTCCGCTAGAGACAATAGTAAAGCATCGACACATCATATATAATCTTAATTTGTTTTTGTCAACAGGCTCGATACTTTCAAATTCCTTAATGTGTTTTACATCTTATTAGTTTGCGTACTAGCATATTTGATTAACGATTTTAATGTTTTCATGAAAAAAAAAATGGTATGTTTTCCATTCTTGAAAATGATATGCATGTTTTATCACTCAAGAATTGTATGTTTCCAATCCCATACGATTTACTTCTTAGAATGCTATATTTTTCTAAATGCAACGACGACTGATTAATCGATTTTTATGCCTAAACTAAATTATTCATTCTTCTTTATTTCAAAAAACAAGAAAAGTGACAAATAAAACAAAACAAGATTTCCATCTTCATAATTATCAAACATAATTATTCGTTTTTTCTTCAAGTTGTTGTTGATTATACATGATTGATTTTGCACGATTTGATTGACGACGTCGACAGTAACAACAGCATCCAAAAATGATAATGATGATGCCAAATAAGAAAATAAGAGACAAGATGACCATAAAAGGAGAATCATTTGTACAATTGCCATACGAACCTGGTGGTACAATTGATCCATTAATAATGATCAAGTTGTTATTTCCTTCATTGACTGTATGTGAATATCTTATACATTTCCCACCGATCTGAATTCTCCACATGGTTAAATTTGTTAATGTGAAATAACAATAAATCGATGTTCTATCTACTTTATAATCAGACTATTATTTTTCTCCTACTTATGAACAATTCTTCTTTAGAAGAAAAGAAAAAAATAGAACGGACGACGTGCTCTTTCATTCATTAGGCGAGTGATATTACTTATTCGACGTGTTTAATGACACATGTAAAATGTATCAATGTAACTGATTCGATTATTCATTATATTTTTATTCTCATTGGCTTTATCTTAAACATTGTTGGATAGATTTTATATTATTCCTCACATCAGACAAGATAAATGCTATTTTATGCATTGAATAAAAAAATCAGATATCCTATGAAACGAATTGGTGGAAAACGTAGAAAGAGGAAAAAGTGGAAGGAGAAAACGTCGAAATAGTTAGTATATTCTTTGAGTAATGTCAAATAACCTCAAGAAAACTTGAGGTGTGAGGGCGTTTGTCTGAGTCTAGCTGTGCTGTGAATGGGCGTAGAATAAAAGAAAATCAACATTCACACCAACACTATATGAGAAACTTGTTCTGATTTCTCATTAGAACTTCATTGTAAGTTGATGAAAAAAAATTAATAATTTCGAATATCATTAACTCCTTTGGGATGGATCATGTATATATACGCGATAGCTCTGTATGAGCTCATAATTCACTTATGGGTGTCTCTTATGATATTCTTCTGACCAATTAAAGAGAAGATATACTAGGGAGCTAGGAGCAATGTCGGCCCATGATCGCCGTTTTAAAAAAAGACCAGAAAAATATTATAAAAGACAGTCATAAATGACTTACAAGTTCATGCAGAGCCATCACGTATATATACGTGAGCCGTTCCGAAGGGGTTAATTACTAGTTGTCAAAGTAAAATCATATTTTACAAGATACGATATATTCATCTTTGTTCTTCGATAAAAAAGACAAAGAAAGAATCTTAAAAAACTCTTTCATCGAAGCTCATTGAAAGTTGAATTTCGAAAAAAACTTTTTAAGATAAAAAGAATATTTTTCAAAAAGTTAATTTATTTTCCACACAATCTATGAGAGAATAGTCAATCTTGCAAGATATATCTTAAATAAATTGAATACAACAATCAAACCTCAAGAGTATGCTATCATGAATTTCAGTGGCGATAATGAAGAACTTATGGAAGTTATTGTTGGGGCTTTGAACATGAGTCTTCTTTTTGCTCACATTCTCACTCTGTAAATATATTTCTCTATGATCTTTTTTTTCTGATTATATTGAAAATATCAGTTGTATGCTAATCAATGTTTGAAGTAGGAAAATGTCTTCTTTTTCTTTGTGATGTAAATTAGTTTCAAATTTTTCAATGGTAAGAACAGATTGAACGTCAATGTTCAGTGTTCATTATAAAATAAATCACGACGGCTAATGCTTTTTGTTATTTCTAATGTCTATCAATGATGTAAACGAGAATGCTTCAAAAGAATATGATTGATCGTATTTGAGTTTTTATCCGCTTCGCTTAAAATATGAACTAGGTAATAACCATTTTTATATATAGGGAGAAAGCCCAAAACGCGCTACATCTTTTGGTATATTTATATGGAGCATCAAATGCAGTTAAAAGTATCAATAGTGCATTAGAAGAAAAAAGGACATTTTTTAAAAATCCATGGTGTAAATACTGTTGTAATATTCTTTTATTTCGCATATATCTCGGCGTAGGTAAAAGATAAAACCTTGAATTTTTTTTTAAAAGATGCACCGTGGAAAGCTCTACAAAAACTATATAATCGAATTCCTTTTTCACCTATTCCGATGATTTTTCTTATACTCAAAATGAACAATTTACATGGCAGTGTCACTTTCCATCATACTGAGAATGTTTGAAGACTTTTTTGTTCTGGATATGTCTCGTCTTGAGAAAATGATGAAATATTAAATTTGTTTTTAAAAGATGTGCCGTCGAAAGCTCTACAAAACTTGTATAGATCAAATCCTATACTGTATCGGAAAAGTTCTGGAAAGATTTTCTATACAATGGGAAGTGACACTGTCATCAATAAGTTGTTCATTTTGTGTATAAGGGTGTGGGTGTTTGTTATATTATCTTGCTCACAACCACACCGCGCAATTATTAATCGACACCGTATAACTGTAACGTCACCTAACTAAACATGCTCTGCTTTATAACGCCATAAAATATTTCATTTAACTTGCATTTAGTCGCAAGACAAGATACATACATCTGAAATAACATTGTTAATGGCAAAATAAAAAGCTCACTTCACTGTATTATACGATATATTTAAATTTAGATAAAGCATTTCAATGAGATGTGGAGAGTAAATGCAAAAATGACTCATGTCTTATAAGTCGGCCGTTACATTCACATTGTTGAATCTAAGAGTTCATTTGTTGTTTTTTCTTATGGTTTTGACTGACATGATCACTTAATTTAAGATTTAATATTTCCTAGTGTGATAAATGAGAAAAAATTTAATACGTCTGCTCTTACAAAGCTATACAGATAGAAAAAGGAAACCCATAAAAAAAACTAATTAGAACACCTAGCGTCACACCATTAGATTGATTAAACAGACGTCTTATCAAAAGAAGAAACCATTTTAAAGACTATATTTTTTTTTCGCTGGATATCTCAAACAGCCAACTAAAAAAATATCTATTGAACGCTCTTTTTCTAATGTAGGACACACTTGCTGAAATATCCAAAACAAACCTACTCCTAACAATAGTTTCCTATTTTTTATCATCGCGTTATGTCCTCTGCATTTTTGTGATAATGTTGAAGTCGTCCATTGAAACGAGCTCATATTTTCAGAGCTTCGACGCAAGACAGTGATATATTATTCAACGCGAGAGACAACCGTAAAGTGGTAAATTATTTCTAAGAGAAAATTGTTCAGAAGATCCTAGAGAGCCAGTGTATGGAAATAGCATGGAAAGTATCGTTTAAAGTAGAAGTCCAAGTATAATACGATGTTTATAAGAAATGAGAGACAACATAAAACCATATACAACAAGACTGACAATAGATTTGTGTGAACTATTAACAAACAATACATTATCTCTTGATGATTTTTAATTCGATTTACCTATTCGTTTTTCTTTTCTATATCGTAAGTCGCAATTTATGGTTGTTATTCTACTTGAATTATATATTTTTAATTCAAGTATCTTACCCATAGGAGATGATGGTTGTTTGACTGTAGATAAAATCATTTAACTACTGCTATCTTCATTTCTTCAATAACCAATTCCATGTAGCCAATCGATAAGTAAGCTTTTTCAAGCTTACCTTATCTAATGACTTTCTGTATCCGACTTACTATTTGTCAATCAGGCTCACAAAAGCTGATTTATTATTGAAGTAAATCTAATCTTTTATTCTAGTAAAGAATTTTTATTATCATAGAAAAATATTATTTCGAATTATAATAGAAATTAATAAAGCTTGTTTTTCTCATTTAGAAAACAATAAGCGTGAAAATAATAAATTACAACTCACTTCTTCATTTAGTTTAGCTTTACTAACTGATGACGATATAAAAATAATATCTTCATCATACTCTATTTGTACCAATAGTTACGAATGACTAGAAGAAAAAACCAGTAGGATAAAATAAAAAATTAGGACAGTTATTTGCAATTATATTCTATTATATTGTAAACTAAATGTTATTATGTTCATTTAATCTTTTTGTAATGATAAACATCTCTTATTTTCTTGGCTAATGTCTTATAGCATTGTTGCACATTCCCATTGTGGCATCGTGACTCGTAACTATTTTTTTCTCTTTTTGTTTTTCTATATATTCTTAGCAAGTTAATCTATCATATAAAGTCGATAACAAAAACAAAGAAAGATTGAAAAAGAAGGAAGATTAGCTTCATATTCATTGCAAAAAAAAAATACAATGTCCTTGCCGTCAGTTGCTCTACATATTCTTGACATTGCACAAAAATTAAACTTTTATGGCTTGTTTATTATTTTCATTGCCGCTCTTATTGGCAGTGTTCTCAATATTTGTGTATTTACTAAAGTGAAGCTTTTCAAAGGTAATCGTTGTGCTTATTACTTAACCATCGAATCTATTATCAGTATATATATATTTATTCAATTGTGTATTCCTCAAATATTTCAATTAATATATCAAACTGATCCTGCAAATACCTCTCTTTTTTTTTGTAAAATAAAAACGACATTGAGTCAATCATTTCGACTTCTGATTGATTTTATAGTATGTTTTGAAGCATTAGACCAATATCTTTCAACTAATCCTCGTCTTTATTTTCGGCAAATGAGCACATTAAAACTTGCACAATGTTCAATCATTGTAGCAAGTATTATATGCATTTTACAGACAATACCTTACATTATTTTTTATGATATTGTTTCTCCATTTGGTTGTATTATAATCAATCAAGGTTTAAAATATTATTATTCTTTTGGTTATTATATTTTTTTAAATGGATTTCTACCAATTTCAACTTCAAGTATATTCAGTTTATTGGCCTATCGCAATGTTCGTCGTATAATTCGACGACAAATTCCAATTCAACGTCGAAAACTTGACCAGCAATTGACAGCAATGATCTTTGTCCGAGTCATTTTGTTTGTTGCTATTCTATTACCATTCACACTATATCGAATCTATACAGTCAAAAGCACTGCATATCCAGTTGATAGTCTTCAATATGCAATAGTTCAATTAATTACAACAATCGTTGCCTTAATAATGATGTGCAACTATGCTGTAAGATTGTAATTATTCTTTTTATTTGAATGTTTAGAATAATTATTTTCATAGTTCAACTTTTATATATTTTTTGCGACATCATCACGATTTCGGCGTCAACTTAAATACTTATTTGTGAAAGTTTGGTGGCCATCGTTAAGATCATGGTTTTATTCAAATGAAAATAGGATTCATCCTTTGAATATAATTCCAAATGAATATAGTACAGGATTGAAATCATGAGCATTTATTTCCAATAGAGAGAACTATACTATTTATATTGGTTTCTCTCATTGTTGCTTATCATACATAAAGCTTTTATTATTATTTAAAAATAAAATTAATACAAACAATAAAAATAATCGATGCATGAACAAACATTCACTTATAGAATATAATAAATATTTATAGTGACTGTAAAATATTACAGCATTTATTAAAATACAGAAATATTTATTAAATAATGAAGCTTCATAGATGATTTTTACTCAATATCATAGAATTTGAGATAGACATTCAAGCCAACATCCAAATCCATATAAGTTAAAGATTTTCTTTTTCGAATGAATTCTTAGTAAGCTTCAATGAAATTTCTACACAATAACGGAAGTAATTATCTATTTCAGTTGAATATCTTCGATGAATTTTTTTTGTGCATTTATTTTTTTTCTAATTAAGCCAAATTACTCAATAAAATCTTGTTCATATATAACGTTTCGAGAATATGACTTCTTATGCCATTAAAATAGCGTTACTTTTGCTGATTTTTGAAGTAGTGTAAATAAATCATCGATTAATCACGATATTTCAAGAAGAAATGACATAACAAGTATTAGTTTACAGATAATACATGACATCGTATATAAAAGTTTCCTATAGTGGCTATTCTCAGAGTAAATTTGATAGAAAAGTACCTAAGGAATCGCTATTTTCTTTTAGAAAAAAGTCACAAATCTTCTTCATTTTTTCTGGGTGTATGGTTTTCTAATCACGCATCCCAGCATTCTTTCAGAAGCTTCATCGTAGTCAATGACTTTTTTAGCACTTTTACTAAGTAGGGCGTCATTTTTTCAGTGTTTTTCGAGATATTGAACTTTTCATCGTTATTCTCCGCTTAAAAAGTACGAATTTAAAAAAATTAAGTCTATAAAATGAAGACCCACCAAAAATTTCGTATTGTCAAATGAACTGATTTTGATCCTTGTTCGTTGAAGATCTCTCGAAAACATCATTGTGTGGATTGAGATTGATTTTTGAGAGGAGGAGCACAAGTGAAAAGTGTTTCTCAGACTAGAGCTCAGCACTATTTTCTGTTGCTGAGAACTCTGAAAAATAAGTTCGATAACTCTTGTCCTTGTTTGTTATGGAAAAGTATCCAAAACCTTATCGTCTTCTTCGAAATCCACAATGTGAGTTCTACACAAGTATAAAATCATCTTTTGTAAGAAAATATTAAAATCTTTATACAAACAGTCATAAAATATTAGTAAAATTGTTATTGAAGGATACATAACATCTAATAATAATCTTTATTTTCTTCTATATTATCAAATAATGGAATCTATGAATTCTGTTTAATATATCTTGCATAAGTTCTTAAATTTGTACAAAAATCATTTCATCTAAAGAATCAAAATTTTCTCGATATTACTAATTGTACATTTGTCATTTGTTCATTATCAAGATGTGTCATAAATTGTTCCATTTTATCAATTGTGTTAATACGTCATACAACAAGTTTAGGTATTTTATCTATATTAGAATGGACAAGTTCAACGATATATTGCGCTAAATTAATACTTCTTAAATAAATATTAGGTAATGTTGATTCCTTTCATTTATTTGATGAATTCATTATGGTTAAAGAATTTTGGGGTATACCTTAGTATAGTTTCCATTATAGAAATCAACACCTAACATCTTATCATTGGTTATGCATGAATTAGATGTAGCAATGATTTTTTTTTCGTACATCTGTATTCGTGAAAAAGTTTCATCATCATAATATTTCTTAGAAAATACTAAACTATTTTCTTGTCTTTTTTTAAATATATTTTGAAGTATAAGTATACAAATATTTTGTTAATCATAAACGAATAACATCGGTACTTTTTCAATGTATTTTTTTGAGACAAAAATTTAATTCATAGTGTTTGTTTTGATTAATCATGTAACTAGCTCATATTACATCCCTTTCAAATATTTCACCATAAATGTCGTAACGAAATATCGCAAGTAATTTTCTTTTGTCTGTTGTGTTCGACCGCATATTTGTAAAATAATAAGACCCAACCACAGACGTTAATAAGACGTTGCCAGATCGCTCTATTGAAGGGTGATGAAGAAACCGCAAACTCTTGGAGTACATTTTCAATCTTCATCCTCATATTCAGCTTCTGCGATGTTAAGATTCACGAATGGCCTCGTTTGTTCTAAGTTAGGTCACATATGCTTTGACAAAGTCAACTTGCTGATTAGTAACAACAGCTACATTGTGTTTCACATTTTAATCATGCAGGAATACTATCTTATTCGACAATATGTAATAGAACATTTTTTGTGATCGAAATGTAAATGCTTTACATACTTATCTATCTCGGATTTCGAAAATAATTTTTGTCACCCAAACAGTCGATGCAGGTCACTATTAATCAAATAGGATATTAACTTGAAAATTTTCTAGACAAATAATACTTCAAAACAGGTACTTTAGTAAGTTAAACTTATACTTTTTTTTTATCTTGTGTCAAGAAAAAAAACTTATTTTATATCATAATAGAATTATGCTTGACTTTCTTTCTCTTATTAGTCAAATATAACACATTTAATGAAAAAACTTGTTGATGAAGGTTAATGAGCTCGTCATGTAGAGCTCTATGCTATAGATAGTCATCCAATAATCTTTTCTCTCAAATTATACTAAGTCTATTAATAATAATATTGACTAATTCAACCTGTTGAGTATAATCGTACTGAAATATGTTCCAGAACGGTTTATACAGTTGCGACGCACACTGATGATTAATATCAACGAAAATTAAAAACAAATAATAACGATATTCTAAGCTAAATGAACAAAACAATTCTCGTTGACTTAATCTGATTACTCGTAGAAATTATCAATCCATTTATCGAACTCATACGTATTGAAGGCGAAATTTCTATTCTCAGATTCTCATTACCTTCAAATTCAATGCATCTTCATACAAGCAAGCATTGATATTTCGACGTTTACGATCTTTTTTTTTTTAAATGAACGAGCTATACTAATTCCGTTAGCAAATGTTGTTCGTTTATTAACCTTTTATTTTCGTTATTTCTTAGTTACAGAGTTCTTGTCAAAAACACATTATCTGATGAAACTATGTTAGTTTTCAAGAGACATTTTTCCCAAGTAAAAGATATCAACAGGTCATCGAAAGTGAGGTAAGCAAAAATAAGAAAGAAATGAACTATACATATATGAATTTTCTTTTAGTTTGCGTTAAGATGTACTCATTTGATATCGATCAAGGAAATATTGCTCATCGAATCCACGGGAAATCATAATTTCCACAATAATGGGTACAAGTATCGAGAAGGTGCACAAGATTCATAAGTGTTTTTATTTGAACAAATTTAAAAAAGAGAACTTCGACTTCTTTTTCTGATTGTCCGAAGTATCATCGATCGGTGAACTATTGGAAGTTAAAGTTAGGACTGACCAAGCCGTTGATTCTGATGGCTTCACGACAAATGTTTCCCAGAAAGGTTCTTCAAATGCAGCTTGGTCAAGCCAAACTGTCATTGTATCATCTGTCACTTGGAACAAAAATTTAATTTGTCGTCGTTGATCATATTTCCATTTTTTTCTGTCATAATTCTCAAAAAAGCCACGACGATTTATTGAAATAACGACCGAAAGACTGCGAAGATGTATTAAATATTTCTTCAATAGTGAAACATTATGTAAGTTTGATGTATTGATTTTTAGATGTTCGATAGAAGGAAAGCACTTGCCAATAATAATAATATCTTCTCCATTGAATAAGTGCTCAGAAAGAGAAATATCAAGGTGTTTTACATAATTACTCTTTCTCATGAAAGCATACATATTTTCAAAAAGTACATCGAATGTTATATAAAGTAAACTCATATTTGTGAGAGATGCTAAGAGTGCTGCTAATGCGTCGGTGTTTTCCTGTGAGCGTATAATAGCAAGTTGTCTGATTCGAGAACAATTTACATGTGTTTTCACCCATTTGAGTAGCGAACTATCCATATTATCCACTATAAGACACTTTACATTGTCAAAATAGTAATGACACGATACAAAACTATTCATATCGTCAATTCTCAAATTTATCTCTTTATTTACTATCATAAGATTATTATTATTACCAGTACGTTTAGGTGCTATCCAACATTGAATAACAGGCCAATCAAATTCACATCGAACAATGTGTTTCATTTTGTCTATGCCGAAACCATCGAAATCCGAATATTCATGTTTGGTTACTATTATATTGAAGTTCTTTTTCGATATCCAATATGAACTTTGAAATGAAATGAGCACATCTTGAAGATCAACTTCTTCTATACGAAATGTAGTTGTTTGAAGAGTAAAATGAGTTAGTAATGGTAAGGATGTTTCCAACAACATCTTCCATGCATTTGCATCAAGAAGTTTACTGTGTGCTTTAATTTCAAGATGCTTTAAAACAGGCATACATGTCAAATATTCTGTTAACATATCCATTGTTATTGAACTGTCTTGTTGAAAATATAAGACTAGTGTACTAAGTGTAGACGTTGGTATCATATTCTTTTTTTGTTTCCTTTCTGTTTCATCATGTTAAGGATATATTATATTGATTAAATCAACATCGAGATATTTAAGATGAGGAGTACATTTGAAAATATATTGTAGATCTTGAAATCGAAAATGTATACCAGAAATAGTCAAATGTTCAATATTTGATGAGACCTTGGCCAAATCACTCCAGTTTATAGAATCTATTTTACTCATAAGAGAAAATTGTTTAAGCGATTTTAAGCGAAAAAGATCGACAATAACATTTCCTAATGAGGATCTATTATCTGTGTTTGTTGCTTTAATTGATAAAGTGTTAATCGTCGTTTTTGATAAGGAATTAAGAGCTCTTTCAACAATTTGCCACTCAATAACTTCACCATCAAAATGAAAATAAAGTGTTCGAAGTTGTTTAAATGATTCAAATGATGGTAAAAAAGAAAGAAAAGCATCAACTTGACCAGGTGTGTCTTGTTCTGATATGAATAATTCTTCTATTTTATCGATATAGGCTGGTAAAAGATTCATACAGAAACGAAAATCGTCTTTTTGACATCGAATAAAATCAAAACGAAGTCGTTGGCATCGTGTAATAAGTGCATTGAAACGTTGATTAAGTTGAAAGTCAAAAGCTCTTAGTAGATCTACTCCATTAATGTATTTCTCAATAATATCAATCAATAGTTCGTTTGGAAGTGATTCAAGGTTTGAGAGAGGCATATATTCAGACAAAATAATACTAACGATTGATAAGTAATGTTAAAAAGTCTATGTAACAACACAGTCGTATTGATGGAAATATCGAAATTCTAAGTCACGGTTTGTTATGCTTGAAGAAGAATGTGTTAGGCATGCGTAATAATATACTGTCTCTGAAAAGAACGTCATTCCGTTCGTCATATCAATAGTAAATGTACTTCTCACTATCGACATCTATAGAAAAAAAAACAAATCGGTCAATGAAAAATAAATCAGAAGAATTCTAATTCATCCTAATTTAGCATAAAATAAGGAATAACTTAATACTAATCTTATTTCGGTGAAACGTTTTTCTCTTTAGATATTCGTCACTAAGAAGGTTGTTTCCATAGTAACGAAGGGTACTAAAAATGTAGCATTTGTTAACAGAATGGTTATCTGAAAAATTCATTTCAACCTAGAGGTAGTATGTTAGAATCAGAATAAAATTTTGAATTGTTTGATATATTAATATCTCAAACATGGGTCTCGCATCAACATTACAAGAAATAGCCATATTGCTTTCCGAATTTTTTCTCTAAGCCTCCTATTTTTACTAGAGTAAGACTAATTGTATTGTTGTTATTTAGTTTATTCCCTAAGTTGTATTTGAATTCAGTTCCATCAGTTTTTGTCTAAAGTTGCAACCCAAAGTTGCGAAACAGGCGTCATCTATTTAAATAAATTGAATTTGAAATGAATTTTATCTCTGTTGTTAAAATTGTATTATTTATTCTAAAACTATTACTCGTGAATCAAAGCAACTACTAATTAGATTCTAAAATAGTATATTTAAGAATTTTAGTCCTTATAATGGCAGGCATTAGGATATATTAAATTTTTTGTCACCTGCTAAAGTTTCGTTGGTTAATATTCTTTTATGTCGCAAATGTGACAATAACTCAACAGAAATATCAAGTCCAGCTCCTATAGCCGATTTCAATGCTGTCAAACGATGTTTGACACTTGTGGAAATTCGAGCTATTTATCAACAGCAAAAATCAATCAACCAAGTTAAAGTCGGTACCTATATCAATACCCAGGTCGTTCATGCCCGGCCGTAAACGGCCGTACACCAATCATTTACGACGAAAAACGACAGCAGTTTACAGTGACCATTTACGACAGTCATATACGACGTTTTACGGCGTATTACGTTAATCGTAAACAATGACCGTAAACGTTCGTCCTTTACAACAACCGTAAAAATACGGCGACAGTAAACGATGCTCGGATAATATCGTAAGATATCGCAAACGGCAGTCGTATACAGTGACTGTTTACGGCAATCATATACGATGCTTTACAGCGTATTACGCTCATCGTAAAGAATGACCGTAAACGTTAGCCGTTTACGATTACTGTAATAATGCGGCGACTGTAAACGACACTCGGATTATACCATAAGATGTTGTGAGCGCCAGCTGTAAACGGTGTTATCTAAGATCATCGTTTTTTATTGTAGTGTTCTTGCACAGTTGTTAACGACGACGAACTACTTTTCTTAGACATAGTGGCAAAATCAGAACTTCGCTACTAGAAGAACCGAAATTTGAAGCACTTTTTTTCAAATCTATCAAAAATAGTACAAATTTTCATAAAAGAATCTGAGATCGACACCATCCCTTGCCTCGTAAAATTCTCTTCACGGATACATTCTTTAGATTTTTATCAATAAATCAACAAATTTTCAATTGTTAATTTCGGATTTCGTTTAAAAAATTTTGTGTCCACATGAAGAGTATTTTACGATTTTGTATTAAGTGTATTAAGTGTGGAAAATGATCACTCTAGAAACAGTATGCTGAATATTGTTGTATTGGGTCTCTCAATTGAGGCAGATTTGTGTAAGATTGCAACTGAAATGTTTAATTAGCAGTATCTCTTGTATCTCTTGAATAACTGGTAAAAAAGACTGCGAAAGTGGATTTTGCTTTGCTCAGTGCGCATCAGCTAGACATAATGTTTCTCAAGATCTAATTTGACAGATTCTCCTATCTGAAATTGAATTTGCAGGGTGAACTGCACGTACATGAACTGAACTATAATACCAAAGATCCAGGAAATCCCTGTTGTTCTATGTGAAACCCATGTAAAAAAAATTTTGATGAAAAGTCAGATTAAAACCGATTTTTCGATTAATAATCGAATTTTGATAGATTATAATGACGTTATTTTTAATTTGATTTTAATATGATATCTGAATCTAAATGATGGATGGGATTTGATAATAATTATTTTTAATTTATTTTAATCGATTGTTAAAATTGTATAAATGACTATTCGATTGTCAATCTGACTTTTCGTTAAAACCTTTTATATGGTTACAATAAGTGGCTAATAATAGATATAATCACAATAACAGACATGAGATCCTATTTGTGTTACTATTTGATTCAACAGATTTCTTTCTAGATGCGATCAAATTGTCAATAAAGGCATTCTATTTACGCAACTTAAATTTACTCATACCATTTTAAACTCGAGACTAAATAATTCTTTATGTTAACATACTTTCTCATAAGATTTGACTCTTTTTTTAACATACCTAAAGTTAGCACCAGATTCGTATTTTTCTGGTCCGGATGTGCCTGTAGAGCTGTGCTGGTTCCATAAATGATTGTGTTAGGTGCAGAACTTAATTCTCTATCGTATGGTACCATTTCTGAATGGGGTTATCGGGTGAAAATAGGGGTCTTCTTCAAAAATACTGATATTACCCACACAGGGTAATTTCACAATAAGAGTGCCGGTGACGGGCAGGATGAGAAGGTGAAAGTGATGATGAGCATAGTTACTGTCGAAAGAAGCTAACATTAACGTCGACCTCATCATTACCCTTACCTCTAGCCATTCTCTCCCTTACCGCACCCTCACTCTAGAGTGGTTAGCGAGGGATAAAATTCTCGAAATTCTATAAATCTCAAAGTGGATTCTCCGAAATCAATGCATCTATAATTCGGTGAAAGAAGCGTATGCCGCAAGTATTATGCAACCAACAATTGGTATTTCGTTGCACAAGTTTTGAAAGCTATCATTGAAACTCGTTTTCATCGTTTCCATTACCATAATATATGTCTAATATACACATATTACTTTTTGTTATTGAAATGCTTTTTGGTAATTTCCTTTTCATCGTTACACCATGAACAACCTAAACCAAAACATTACTAACAATATCAAGAAAAAAAAAGAAAAAATAAACTAAATATTATTTGACAGTCTCCACAATAAAAATTATAAACGAAATCAACTTTTCCCAATGCATCTTTAGTCCTGTTCCACTGAATAGAAGTGTGATTAATTTAACGAGAATCAAGGTTTCATGCAGAAAAACAGCATTTATCACTTATCTTCAAAACTTCCGAAAACTATTTCCGATGCAAAGTGAATCACCATGTCGAAACTACCATATACATGAGAATCTAACCTCATGATTCATGAAACAGCATTTTTATGAACATGCAGCTTGTTTTCAACATAGATAATACAAAGACGGGGAAAAGCTCTCAGCTTCAAAACTCCGCCTGCCAGTAAGGCAACAAACATATTCCGACTAACAAACGTACCAGAAAATTGATTTTTTTCCACATCAACTCAGCGTACTAAACTCAGATTCATTCATTTATCAATACCATCATTTAGTACCAGAAACCATATTTCTACCAATACAATGAGTACCACTAAACATCTCACGCAATTTTCATCCAGTATACTCACAAACACTTTCGAAAACGTTATTCACATCATTCAAGGTACTAAAACCACAACACAAAAAGTATATTCCAAAACATCAGGCGAGGTGAAAGACGTCGCCCTACAAAAACTAGAAAAACAACATTCAGATCCCAGTTCTTCGTTCCCATAACCAAGGCATAACTCGCTCTACTTTCCCATACATACTACTCCTTCATCCCCGCACCGTCATTGCTTTGAACTCGCAGCAATATGTTCACTCAATTCCATCCTATCTACTCCACATAAGTATCAATCGGAGCCCAACTTACGATCCGAAAAGTAACCACAAAAAATCTGCAACATGATTCCCTAGTTCACGACAGACATACTGTTCACGAAAAATTCTGATTTCGAAATCCAAATTTCTTGAAGATTTCTGGTCAAGCAACCATTCACCGATTTTTTTAGTAGCAACAGCTCTATATATACCAGGATTTACTTTGCCACTCAACCATACTCTTCGTCTTTCCTCTCGAAAAATCCCACTTTTGAAATCTGGATTTCTTGTAAGACTTCTGGTCGAGCATTCATTCACCGATTTGTTTAGCAGTAATAGCTCTATATATACCAGGATTTACTTTCTCACTCAACCATACTCTTCGTCTTTCCTCTCAAAAAATCCCACTTTTGAAATCTGGATATCTTGTAAGATTTCTGGTCGAGTATTCATTCACCAATTTGTTTAGCAGTAATAGCTCTATATATACCAAGATTTACTTTGCCACTCAACCATACTCTTCGTCTTTCCTCTCGAAAAATCCCACTTTTGAAATCCAGATTTCTTGTAAGATTTCTGCTCGAGTATTCATTCACCGATTTGTTTAGTAGCAAGAGCTCTATATATACCAGGATTTACTTTCTCACTCAACCATACTCTTTGTCTTTTCTCTCGAAATATCCCACTTTTGAAATCTGGATTTCTTGTAAGATTTCTGGTCGAGTATTCATTCACCAATTTGTTTAGCAGTAATAGCTCTATATATACCAGGATTTACTTTCTCACTCAACCATACTCTTCGTCTTTCCTCTCGAAAAATCCCACTTTTGAAATCGGGATTTCTTGTAAGATTTCTGGTCGAGTATTCATTCACCGATTTGTTTAGCAGTAATAGCTCTATATATACCAGGATTTACTTTCTCGCTCAACCATACTCTTCGTCTTTTCTCTCGAAAAATCCCACTTTTGAAATCTGGATTTCTTGTAAGATTTCTGGTCGAGTATTCATTCACCGATTTGTTTAGTA